GAGAGAGAGAGAGAGAGAGAGAGAGAGAGAGAGAGAGAGAGAGGAGAGAGAGAGAGAGAGAGCGTAGGCGAATTACTAAAGGATAGAAGGCAGATGAGATGAATAACATAGAGAATGGAGAATTCAAAAAAAGCAAGATACAGAGATGAATAGGGAAAGGTGGCACAGATAGAGGAAGCTGGCAAGAGGAGGTAGGAAAGCATAGAATCAAGAGTCCATAATAGAAGAAGCTATTCTTCTATTATGCAGAAGACGTTGAAACGCTCGTTGAATTATAATATATTATAACAATATAATATAATATAATATAATACATATAATCAAGAGTACATAATGGGAGATATAATATAATACATCATATAATATTTAATATAAGACATAATGCTAGCTGCATATCGTACGCTGGTGTTTAGCTAGTATCTCTCCTCTCCCTCCTTCTCCTTATAATTGTCTCGTAGGTTTTCTTCTAGTCGCCTACCTGGTTGCACAGCAGGCGTGCACTGTGCCCGTAAACCCACACAGCTAGAGACTGCTGCGCTGCATCAATGCCACAGAAAACCAGCAATGTCACTGAGATTATACGCACGCATGTTTATTCAGTCGCAACACCTACTTTAATATTAAAGCTTTATGTAGCTATGCACCCGGCCACGCCTCTTGTGTGTGGCAAACATATAGGCAACACAGAACCCAACACTAAAACGGTATTAAACAGCAAGCGTCGAGGAGGTGGAACGAAGCTGGTGGGTGAGAGCTTGAAGCTCGAGGAAGAGGGGAGGGGGCTGAGGCAGATGAGGTTGAAAAAGTCGAAAAGCTAAAAAGGAAGGACGAGAAGGTAGAAAAAAGCGGAGTGGAGGAGAAGGAGAGGAAGGTGGAGAAGGCAAATAAGGCGGGAAAAGGTAAAGTAAAATAAATGTTAAAATTTAGCGTGCTCATGGTAAGTGACACGAACGCATTTGCTGCGAGGAAGTGGTTGAGTGTGAAGAACATTGAAAGCTACTTACATTTACTGACACGTCGAGAGAGGGTACCCAAGCGACATTTCGAATCACACTCAGGATATAAGGGCTCTAAACATGAATCGATTTACTTTGGTGAAGCGAATTAAATGCGTCAGACACAAATTCTGTCGTCGAAAACCAAGATGCAATAGAAAACGATCGGAATACATGTCGTCATTTTATTTCTGTTGTGTGTATAGCACATCACAACAAACCCTTCTCCTAGACAAAGTCTAAATCTTTGAATAAATTAAAATGCGTGTTTACTTTTAATTTTCGCACGATAATTATTCGTGTGTGACTGTCTGGCATTGCCTATCGATCACTGCTCTACTTAATGCGCAGATGCCGAATTCGTCGTAGTCCACACGTTTTAATAGAGTTAGTATAGTAGGCTACCTCCACACTAGCTAAACCATGCTAAGTCCGGCATAACTATGGTTTAGATCAGTAAGACACCATCAATAATGTGCGTAGACCAAGGCTAGTAAATATTACATTTGAAAAATTAAGTACATATACAAAGTAAATATTAAATTTTGTTGATACGTCCGCTTATACCCTCCCGTTGCGGCACACTAGCGAATAATATAGTGAATGTAATATGGCCTACGACTTCGAATAGAGTAAGTTCTATAGCGGGCATCTCCCAATTTCGCCCAGATAACTCGGACAACCTGAGAAGTAATGGTCAATATTATCGTTCGGTCGCACGCGAATCAGGATGAGAGGGAAATTCAGTGATAGCCAGCCGTCTATGTGCCTTCCCTGCTGATCGGATCTATAGATATATACAATCCGTGCTGGCTTCGGCACATGGTGCGTATATATCGTTATACGCCATGCCGATATGGATTAACTGAAAAGCGGACGCAAACAATCGTCTGCCTAAGACTCATGCATATATGTATGTAGAGCGACTGACCTTTGACAGTAGGACTCGCAAACTCGTCGTGGCGATGGGGGTATACGTATAGCAAATCAGGAAAATGAGAAATTGCATGCGAATGCGGAACTTTCCTCTTCGTTCCACGATTTTCGTTAAATTCGCGTTATATGTCTGCTGCGCAAGCAAGAAATTATATTTAGAATTCTCCGCGTGCCTTGAATGTTCAATTAATCCTGGTGCATTATTTATATACTTCCACAAGGAAGCGGAATCATCGAATAAATATTATCGGGTGTTGTTGGGAAATATTGTGGCGAATTGAAAACTTTTAATACGGTTTATGCTGTTTATCTAATTAATGTAGTTAATACGGTATTACCACGTTATTGAGTTGGAATTAAATATGAATTTTTTTGAAAATCAGATTAATGTGGTTGGTTTAATAGTATTCGGAATCCATTAGATTAGAAGGTTAGTTGAGCAGTAAGAAATTTTACAAGGGAACGTGGAAGTAGGGGGTGGGGGTGGGGGTGGGGGTAGTTGATTGAGCGGTACAATCACAACAGGGAACAGAATCAAAATCTGTCGTGATAGCATAGGAGCATATCTGACAAACATTGGTGATAGATGTAATGAATAAAAGCGTAAACTGGCCTCGAATATTTTTTTAGTCTCGGCAGCTTCTCGGAGCACTTGTGAAGTCTTGAAAGACTTATAAATCCCTCTGCCGAGTTTGCCCTGTCGCGCGCTCTCTCACCCTAATACATTCGCGCGCACACACGCGCATGTACTCCCGTACATGCGCGACACACGCACGCACGCACGCACACACACACATACAACATACACACACACACACACACACACACACACGAGATTAATAAATTGTTTACGTTCCTTCCGCTGTGAGCAACTGTTTGGGAACACGAACGTGCATCAAATATCGCGTATATACTTTAAGATAACAGCTAGAGAATTCTTAGCGCTTGTCCTGTCTTCGCGAACATACATATGAGAATTTCATCAGATTTCACATTTGAGGCGTGTTACCTCCGAGTCACCTTCAGCGTCTTCACGCACGCACAAAACTTCGATGATTATTGGCAGTATATCTGCCACCTCGTGCGTCGAGCGTCGAGTCACCACATGCCGCCTCAGGGACCAAACCATGATGAGACGACAATACTCGACCTCAATTTAAGGCCGTAATAAAAATATTGTTTGTTTGCCCTCACCCGACCGACCCATCAAAAAGGGACCGACTCAATTTTTATTGATTTTTTTTAAACAAATTGTATCACTGTACATTATATAAATCTGTAGGCAATACATATATGTACCAAGCAAAACAAACATTCAACATAAAAGGTATCTCCACACTAGCACACCCGAGCATGTAGACACCATGCTGAATTTGTAAAAAGACCCCTTCAAAAAAAGCCTACATTACCTACCCAAACCTTTCAGCCAGGGTCGGGTGAGGGCAAACAAAGATTTGTTTTAATTGTGGCCTTAGCAGTGCGTGCACGATTCATTCTCCTCGCTCGTCTTTATTCGCTACCTCTTCGTCATTTTCATCCCGGATGAGGAATCGAGTGATCACGCGAAAGCGTGGGGCATGATGAACAGTCGTTAGCGGATACCTCCTGGTGCTGCTGCTGCGGCTGCTGCTGCTGCTACTACTGCTGCTGATGATGCTTGCGATAGTGGTGCTGCTGCTGTTGCTGCTGCTGATGCTGTTACTGCTGCTGTTGCTGCTGCTGCTGCCGCTGCTGCTACTACTGCTACTACTGCTGCTGCTGTTGTTACTGCTGCTGCTGCTGGTGGTGCTGCTGCTGCTGCTGCGTGCTGCTATTCCGTATGAAGCCTGACGGGAACTATGCGGATTTCGCGTGGTTGGGCTTCGTGATAATTACAGCGTTAACCCCCGGTGACTTCGCAGACGTCAGAGCAGCAGAACTCTGTTATCTGCTGCCGTCTTCGCAGTAATCATTATTAAATTCCATTCCCTCGGCGCTGGTTAGCAACCGTTGATGCGTGGACGTAGAAAGGCAGGGTGGGTATATATAGGGAGAAGGGATCGACTTGAGGAGTGTTGAGGAGAATGTAACTATATTTTGCGATTCGAGTTGTAATCAAGTTGCGTACGATCTTGCGGTGTGGAGTTCGGTTATGAGGGGATGCTATAAAGAGATGATACCTATCGTAGAAGAATGGTCACGTTTCTGCTCATGCAGGCAAATGCTACTGAAATTTACTAGCATTAAAATGCTATGGAAGTATATACATATTTATATGGCTATATTGATCGTTGTTTTATTTAGTGAAAACCTTAAAAAAATATTCGATAAACATCCACGATCTGCACAATCTAGAATATTTCGTCCTTTTTTGCAACGACGGCTTATAATATTCATTTGGTAAAATGGATCTATATAAACCAGACTGTTTTGTTCGCTTTGTAAATGCTTAACGTTCGGTCGAAGATTTTATCTACTCGGAACGTTGTTCGTGCACGAATGCATGCCTGCGTGACTCTTCCCTTTTTACGTGTGAAGGTTTCAGTTTTGATGCACGCGAACACGTACGGCACGTCTGCGTACACCTTCGTGTAACGGAGGAGAGGCAGGCGGTAAAACATTAGTGATGAAATCTCACGGCGTGATAAAATGTCATGAAGGTAGCAGTTCGAGTCTCGGCGGAGGCTCCCCCGGAATAAACCACGACAGGTTGCGTAACGACGTGGCGTCTGTTGTGTTCTTGGTGTCGGTCAGTCTTACGGCATCAGCCGGAAGCTAACCTAGCTACGTCATTATGTGTGGCACTGCTTTGCAATACGCGGAGAGATCAATAGAAAAGCGGATGTAACTGCTACGAATTATAGCAGCAAGTCAACACGTCAGGTAAACGCCCGCTCACGTGGTCACATCCTGTTCGATGTCTCTTGTTGTCGGCCACAGACCGCTTCGAGACTACCGTGTTTCAGCATGGATACAATGTACAACAACAATTAGGTTCAGGCCTATAGCGTTATTGTGACGTTTTTAAATGGTAAACTAACGTTTTCGAGTTATGAGGAACAAACATTCTTAGATCAAAGGCTACGATATGCTATCTTTTATCGGCCAGACCTCAATTGCTAACTATTCAAACACAAAAATTTTCAGTGAGGAATTTCCCTTCAGTTCCTTGCCAACCTCCATGTCGTATTCATTTGCATATGCGTATGTATGTATATCAAAAGTCCATAATAGAAAAAAGGATTCTTGATGTATATGCATGTATTTATATTTCTAAGCTTGCAAGCCTTTTCACAATGACTATATAGTTCTTGCCAAGTATATGTAAAAGGTTTATGAGAATTAGCATGCAAAAATCTAAGACCGACCCTGATTCATCTCGTCTGGTTATTAGTTTTAATGAAGTAGTAATAGTTGTATAGTAGTATGAGCAAAGATACGCGATGGTGATTTGAGGTAGTGACAGAAGTAGCACTGGTAGTTGTAGCAGCAGCAGTATATTAGCAGATTACAACCCTGTCGATCTTTCAAAATTCTCTTCGGTGTACCGATTCCATTGCCGGCGTAGCGACAACATTTTGACAGCTCGTACGTCGGCGATGGGATTTTTTTCTGTGTGGACACAATGAGAAAGTTCACGAAATCCGTGCGCGGATTGTCACTCCTAGTTCGCCGAGGTCGCCATTATTAATGGGGGGGGGGGCTGGAGTGATGTGAACGCGAACATGTGGTCATGGTGGTTTGAGCTGCGCTGCGTGGGTGAGCTTTATTCTACGCCTGACATCTATGGAACGCTGCCAACTCTTTCCGCCCAGCCATGCGCACGTCTTATTTAGTCTGTTATTGCTCGCATGCGTCAACTGCATGTTACCCGTATACATACTATTTAGCTAAACTTGCCGGCCCGTATTACGGTTACCATTGTGAAAAGAATTTCTTCTTTTGGGTTTTGACACCCGAGTTGAGCCGAAGGCTTACGTTTGCATTTTATTGAAAGTGCCGAACAAAAGCTGCTGCTTCTGAATACTGTGATCCACAAGCACTTGGAACGTCTCAATAAAAAAAAATGTAAACACGAAATGTATTTACTACCAAAGTCTTAATGTTTCTCTACTCTATTTCGCCTTTTATTGCCGATAATTACCCGTAAATGCCGGTCAAATGCTCATCTGCAACACACAAGTACACCGCACGCCCGCCCTGTGCACAAACAACCTGAATAAGAGAGATGACCGGCATTTACGGGTAATTATCGGCAATAATAGGCGAAATAGAGTAGAGAAACATTAAGACTTTGGTAGTAAATACATTTCGTGTTTACATTTTTTTTTATTGAGACGTTCCAAGTGCTTGTGGATCACAGTATTCAGAAGCAGCAGCTTTTGTTCGGCACTTTCAATAAAATGCAAACGTATAAGCCTTCGGCTCAACTCGGGTGTCAAAACCCAAATGAAGAAATTCTTTTCACAATGGTAACCGTAATACGGGCCGGCAAGTTTAGCTAAATATTATGTACGGTTAACCAGTTGACGCATACGAGCAATAACCGACTAAATAAGACGTGCGCGTGGCTGGGCGGAAAGAGTTAATACATTTCGTGTTTACATTATTATTTTTTTATTGAGACGTTTCAAGTGCCTGTGCTGTGATCGTGCGTGAATGCGCGCGTTCGCGTTATCCTTCATGCGCAGTATGTCAGAGGCCGGCATTGAGTGAGAATGCGTGCTTCGTTGTTATGTGATATTACATGACTCGTATAATAAAGGGTGCGGTGCCTACAGGCTATGTGATATTAACGTTTTACAACGGGTGAATAGTATGAACACAGGTGCTATCAGATTCAGAAGTGAAATGTTGCTGTGTGCTGGTTATATATATTTGAGTTTTGTGTTATTGATTATCAGTGTCGGTTGAATCAGTGTAATCGGCTTTTTCTACAGCGATCCGCAGTATTGATCTGTCTATTTGATCAACTTTGTCTCTTTCCGTCTTCGATATAGTCCTTTGGACTTTGAAGACTAATATTTACGAGGTTACGAGGTAGTAATATCAAAATCTGTTCTGCAATTTATTTAGCCGAATATGGAGCATCCGGATTTCTCAGGTCAGCACAACTGGTATGCGTGTTCTCACGCGCGTCCGACTTACTGCAACGTCTGCAGGGAAGCGTTATCAGGAGTCACATCCCACGGTCTTTCATGCGAAGGTAACGGTGAAGTGCAATATGTACGAAATCGGATAACGTGTATGGGTGTGTGTTGGATAATGAATGGGGAAATTAATCGTTTTGCTTGTATCTCCGCTGATTATTTTCACTTACCTTTTCAGCCGCTGGTATTGTAGGTCTGAATGATGTTATGGCATTGAGTCGGTTCCCTTTATATAGTTACAATAGTGTTGCCATGGCAACCGACTATCGGTTTTCATTGGAACATGGCTCTGGCGTAACAAGCTAAACGCGTTTTTCTAACTTGTTTACGATATGCGCTGCGGTGTTCTATTCATCGTGTCTGTTTTTGAGTTGAATCATTCCATACAAACAAGCAGGCAAAGCCAACTTAATATATTTCACTTATTTTTTAGTCCATCTCTTTCTTCACCTAATCGATTTCCTTCTTTCTCTGCAATGCCGTAATGCAACCCTAGTGAAATTTGTTGGCATAGGTTGTGCCATCTAGCTAGCTCGTAATCCAACTTTTATCAATGTTGTGTTGTGTTGAATTCTGCTCTAATCTGCTAACATATTTATTTTTTATCAAATAAACTTTTATGATATCAGCGAATAACAGATTAAAGACAAATTCATTTGAATGAACTTAAGCAATGTCTCAACGCATTTAGTTTCTATTGCTAATTAAATAGGTTAGCAGACTTTGCCATAACGTATAGTTGCATTTCTATCCTGGATTAATTCTACTGATATCACTTTAAATACGCTGCAATTTTCGATGCCACGCATATCTGGGAAGATGATGACAGAATTCACATTAAAATATCACGAAGCTCCATCAGCGTAGACAAATTCCCATTGATTTAAGCCTAGCGTGTGTTAAATTGACGTAGTAACTGCATGTTACTAAACTCTGCCAGCGATCAAGCGCCGACACTGTACGTGCGTGCGTGCGCGTATATGTGCGCGCTTGTGTGTGTGTGTGTGTGTGCGTGCGTGCGTGCGTGCGTGTGCGTGTGCGAGTGTGCGTGTACGTGTGTGTACGTGTTCGATTTTAATTCTAACAATGCGGCGCATCGCAGTGCAGTGAAAGCAAAAAAATTCAGAGGTGCCAACCATTGCCTTCTGCATGGTCGTAATCATTATGATCATCTGCACCTCAGTAACACATTCGCTGTGACTGTCTCTAATCCGTCATCAGCCACAATAGAGTACGCCTGTGCACGCAAAACGTGTGATGGAGTTAGGATTTTGCAGTGCCTCCAGTTGATTCTGGTCGCCGTAAATTAGTTGGCTGCCCTCAGATATCATTAGCTAGATCAGTGGTTAATAATGACAATTTTGTTATTACTAAGTATATTAACCTCTGATTAGATGCAACGTCAACATACCCTGGGTTTTATTGTCGCTGTAGAGCAGTAAAAAATGTGCCATGTACTCGATTGTACAAGACCTAGTGTGCTAATGTGTGACTGAATTATAACTTTTTTACAAGGCTGATTCTTGGCTCATAAGCTCACTAATAATTATTAGTATAATAATAATAATAATAATATTATTATTATTATTATTAATATCATTATTATTATTATTATTAATATAATGATAAGTATTACGGCATGCTATATTAAAAAATTGTTGTTGTTATCAAGTATCACATTACTGTATGCGTTCGTGTATTTTTAACATCAAACAGCCTAATCCAGCGTAATCCCTTTTGCCGATCCTTGGTATTTCAATCCTTGTACCATCATATTAACGTTGATAAAATTATTTGAGGTATTATGCCAATAATATCACATTATACTCTAGTGTTTGCACCACCTCTGTTTATATAACATAAATCTTAGCATCTTAATTATAACACCATGATTTTATAACTTTAATGATGTATGTATATAAATAATTATAGCGCTTTAATCCTAATATAAATTCTGTTTAATTACAGTGTGCAAGTTGAAAACACATAAAAGATGTGCTGTGAAGGCCGTCACCACCTGCAAGTGGACAACTCTAGCTTCGATAGGAAAAGAGATTATTGAGGATGATGATGGGGTATGTATATCGAGAAAGCGATCAGGTTACGAAGAAAGAAGAGTTCTGTTGCCCGAGGTTGCATGCCATCGTTCCCTATCCTCTCCCTTCCCCACTCTCACATTCGCTCTGTCGAAATTCCTCTGGTCTTGTTTTCCTTTTCCATTTCCGTTTATGTATTTCTTCTATTTTTTTAATCTTCGCGTACTGTACACACACATGTTATCTATTCTCTAGTCAGAGTCATGGTTGAAATGACCTTGACAGAGGGGAGTAATGCCTTCAGCCATGTTTGCCAGACTACTTGATTCGCCGTTTGATTTTCCGGTGTAAGAAATCTCACACAAGTTCTTACACCATAGTAATGCTAATGGTAGTCTAACGGTATTACCGTAGTGATTTACCAAAAGATGTTTTGCCGAGTCAGGGGCGAATCCAGAGGATTTGGGTGACCAGTTTCCATATGTTCTTCTGCAGCTAGGGGGGTCCGGGGAATTTTTTAAAAATTTGGCTATATTTGGTGCATTCTGGTGAATTTTGAGGCCTGTGACCGGTTTCTGGAAACTGGTGCAAACCGGCCTAAATCCGCGCCTGCGAGTCGTTATCGCACCTGGCTAATGGGCTTAGCCAGGTATTATATTCCGGAACTGGTCATTATTAGAGATTACAACCAAGTTGCATTTGCTTTTTGATATCGTAAGTGTGCATGAGTCAGTGAATGCTGTGATGTGCCTTGTGATTACTCTCATAGCGCCATTATCCATAACAACTGCAGTGGCAAGCTGTTTTATTTTTTATTTTTTTCAAAGTTCTTAGCTCATTGGTTATTAGTGCAGCAGATATGTGAAAAAATTGTGGGTTTGGTGATAAAAGCATATAATTTGGCTCACATTTATTACATATCACTAGGAATATTTTTGGATATAGGGACATTGCATATTCCTCCTGGGGCCAAAATGGCGGCCATTTTACAAAATGGCCGTGATCGGGTATTACATAACACATAATCACTGTTAGAAGTTGTGCAACTTTTTAACTGGAGATGCATGTAAGTGATGCAATAATCACTTAAAATATAATCTCGGAGCCAATTCAAGGTCATATATCTTACTAACCGATTCATTTGGCTATCAGGCAACAATACGCAACATTTTTTTTTTTTATGGAGTTTTGTGCTGTATTTTGCAAATCTGAAAATGTCAGTTTATAACATAAACTGGCACTGCCACTGGAAGTGCGTTTACCTCTATATATTATCATACATTTATATCTTTACCCTTACATTGTCAGGTGGCGTACATGTCTACATCATATTGAAATATAACAATCCCATGCAGACAAAGCCATCCATGATACTGCAAGATCTAGTCCGAGCACACTGTCCGCCGCGATGGCATAGTGCCGTGCACTTGAGTACAGCCTTTCAAACACTTGCATTGTCCTCTGCATCCCTTCTTGCAGCCGCATCTGAGAAGTTGCCGGCATACTTGCGTTGCCTCCGGGAGGGTTGTCCAGCAGACGTTCAGCCAGTATCACTCTTCACCCACCCCCTTCGCTAGGGATGGGATTTCTGCGCGCAGGAACCATCATCTGGCCCCAACAATAGCCAGCTTGGTAGGCAGTTCTACTGATGGTGCTCTCTGAGGGCTTCGATCGTTGGCGGAGATCATCTATTGCTCGACGCTTCTGGTGAAGAGTCGCTTACGTGCATCGGTGACACGCTCGTGGCTGCTAGTGCGATCATACAGGAGACAGAGAACGACGAAAAACGCTCCAAGGACTCTCAGGCTGTCATCTACGATTGAGGGGTTTGGTGTAGCGGCCCAAGGCCACAGAACGGTCGGCCAGTGACCTCATCACAGGCCTTTCAGTCTCCCATGCAGTCTTTTTGCTCCTGCCTCCAAAGTGTGACACGTATCACACCAGTTGGAAGCATGAAATGAGGGTAATCCACGACACTTGTCAAGCCCCAATGCCTGCGGCATTCTCGTGAGCTGCTAAGTACCTAAAAGCTCTTCCCAGGGTACGAAGCAACCAACAGCTCATCTATGTTGAGCAGCGTTCGGCTGCTGCCACAGCACAAGGACTACGACAATCCGTGTCAAACTGTGCGGATCGACACCTTTGGTGTAGCCCTGTTTCACAGCATCTTCAGTGAGCAGCATCCTGGTATCTGCTTCTTCATGTGTACATGGAGCAAGACCACGCGATGTCTCTGGCCTGCGTACAGACCACATCTTTGTGGAGAGTGCTGATGACTTGTTTCTCTGTCTCTTGAGCAGCTAGTCTCGTCGCTAGGAAGGAGAACAGCTCCACCTTGTTCTCGTCGATCCGTAGGAAGCGCCTGCCAGTTTCCTGTATGGAACTAGATGGCTCGACTCCGTCTCCGGATGCCTCGACCTCTCTTTGTTCGAGTGTCGGCCTTCAAAACTATTCTGGCAGGTATTCATCCAGACGACATCCACTTGATTGCATGCTGTAGCTGAGATGTGATGTACGGCAAGAAAACCTGTGTTGCATAGTCACAGAACGTCTTCGCACCACCAGGTGCCAGCATGTTGGTGATAGCTGCTCCATCAAGGATGATGACTTCAACGTGAGGACTGGCTACATTCTCTTGTGGAGGGATCATATCTTCTAAGCATACCACGAGGTCAGACCTTTCTGCCAGTCTCATTTTGCCCATCTGTGACAGGGAAGGGGACAGGCCTGGTCTCATGAGCAAAGAAGTCGTCCGATATTCTCCCATCACGCATCTGGGCTGAAATGCACACACCGGAGAATACGGGAGCCAGTCATTCTTGAGCAACGCCAGCTGAAGCTGGGTTCTTGATTTTCTTTCTGACTGCGAGGTCGGCTGAAGAGAGGAAGGTTGTTTCTCCTGATTGTGCGTGTCGTGATGGCCTTCGTCTGGTCCACAAGCCCGCTCATTGACATACGTGTGGTACTGGCTCCTGCCCCAGCTTCTCGATCTGGTGCACAGTGTCGATGGACTGCTGGGGTCTGCCCAGGTTTCCCTGCCTGTCTAGTACAGGGAGATCATTGCTGTCATCACAGAAGGGTTCCCCATTTCTCTCATGACACCGGAGAGTGACTTACATCTCGAGCAACGCCAGCTGTGTATGCCTTTTCTGCTCATGGTGTCATGGAATCAGGCTTCTTTGTTCTCGTCTCTGCTGTGGCGCGGAACTCTGCAATCACTCTTGCATCTCAGGACCGGACACCTCCAGCGCTGCAATGCTGCAGGATTCTTAGTCAGGCCGACTGCTCCGCCTTGTCTTTCACTGATGCGTTATTCTGGCTCATGTGCCTGGTCGATGGCCAAAGCAGAGAAATGGTTGTGTTGTCTTCTTTACTGTGAAGTTCCAGCCATGAACTCTGCGAACACATCTGGATGCTTGTCTTCCAGTGCACCATGCTCACGCAAGTGAACTGGATCCACCTTGCGTAATTAGGTGCCCAGGGCAAAGAACCATGGTACAAGCTTGGTCAAGGCATCGATGTAGAGCATGAAGTCGCCTCGCGTAGCCGATCTCACGTAGATCTGATTTCCAGTTCAGCTGCAGCATAATCGACCAGAACTTGAACTGGGGACTTGTATCAGCTCGGCTAGCACACCAGACTTCTACTGCATTGGAACCTGTCCTCATCCAACCCGTCACAGGTATTGGGCGTGTAACCCTCCTGTCGAAGGAGATACAGAACACTAGCTGTGACCTGTGAGCCCATCGAGTGCGCGTCACACTGGGCGGCTTTGATGAAGGAGTCGGCTGTTCCCGGGTGTAGCAACTCCTGCCTGAACCAGGGCTTCTGTCCATCCACTGCAATCAAGAAGGTTGCCCAGAGTGTTGAATGATGTCTTTTCGATGTGGAATCCGGCAAACAGACTGTTCCAAGCTGCTCCAGCCTGGTGTTGTACAGGGTTGCGATGTCTAAAAGCTTGAACACTGGTGCCACAGTAGAGTCCATACGGGCTTCCTCAATGTAGGACACCAGTTCAGCCAGGCTATGCCGTGATTTACGACGTCTTGTTTGGATCCTCATTCATCTTCGCGTGCCTCTGGCTTTGTTGTACAGGGAGGCTAGACACTTCACATGGTACTTGGCCTCTTGTGCTATAAGATCTCCTCCACTTAGTTTAGCCAACAGTGTGTTGTCCTCTAGTTTCAGTGCACATTTCCTGACACGGCGCATCAAGCTCAAAGGTGGAAGCCTCGTGCAGAGTCTCCTTACCCGCCTGTCCGTCACAAAAGAAACACTTGTAAACTGAAGGTTGTGGTTGGTCTCTACTCTGACGTATGTACTTTCTTGGGACATCTGCACTGTGCTCACAGGAGGTTTTCCTCTTCTCGGCTCGAAACAGTTGGGTTTTGTTGTATTCGAGTCTACACGAATCATGCCACCTGGCTCTGTGGTGCTCGAATGTTGCTTGAATGCCCTCACCATCATCCAGTTTGGAGATATCTATAGTCTTTGGCAGACATCCGATCTTGCTGAAGGCGAGGAGATTGTCTGCAAGAGTCTGGTACCCAGAACCACCAGTGCTACGCTTTGATTCAGCTGGACAGATAGCTTCTCAGAGGTGTCTTTCTGACATAACACACACTGGTCCAATGTGTCAGATATGGAAGATGTGTACCAGATGAGCCTGGCGCTGTGGGGTCCAATACCATAAAACGTTTGGCCATTGTCAGTCAGTCAAAATACCTTTAGTGTACAGCCACCAGATGCAAACCACCACCGTGACCTGAAAGAAGAATTAGCAGAATCGCTCGCAATCCCATACGCCCGGCGCATCGCTCGCATTCAGCATGTTGAATATTTCTGCCCGGTTTTTCATCGCTTGCATACAGCGCATGCGCTTGCACTAGCGTAGACTGGTACCCGCTCACACCTCTCGGCTTAGTTACTCGATGGGGTCGAGTAAACGAGGTGGGGGCGAGTACCAGTCTAGCACCAGCGCGCCTAACAATGAACAATCGCGTTTGAACGCGAATGGTAGCAGCCAATCATGTGTACAGCTGCACGCGCAACTCTACGGCGTTCCAAAATCGTGAGCGAAAACATACGCTGCGCGGCAGCTTACAGAATCGCTAGTGTGTCCTATATGTGTATATATGTGTCATAGTGTCATATATGTGTGTATACTAGGCTTACGATATGCACAATGTCTGAACTCTATTACATATGTAGCAAGACAGATCTGTCAGATATGATAATCATGACAAGGAAGAAAAACGTCATTTGCGTCCCTAGCTGTTAGGCCACCATACATAATTGTGTTCAAGTCCACGTGAGGCCTATGCTTAACATGTCAATAACAAATGATATATATCCACTAGAATGTGTTTTGCACCAACCATACTTGATATAGTTCAACTTATGGGCGAAAATGGTAAATTGAGGCCGCCATTTTGTAAAATGGCCGCCAAAGCTACCATGGGACAAATATGCAATGTCCCTATATCCAAAAATATTCCTAAGGGTATGTCCTAACTGTGTGCCAAATGCCATGCTTTTATCATCAAACCCACAATTCTGTCGAAATATATCACATATCTGCTGTACTATATTTAGTATATAGATCTACTACTTAAGGTGTGCGTCATTAAATGTTTAGGGACGTATGGTTTTGTGAATACCTACAATTCCTCTACTTATTGCTCTGACAACGAGTTGCTCACATTTCACTGTCGACTATTATATTTTACAATGCATTATGTCTTTTATGTAGCCACCACAGATTCATAAATACACACATAGTTGGTTATGATCAAAAGTAAATTTAAATTTCGATTTCAATGTGGACAAATCCATTCAGCATATCAACTGGTGCATATCTCGTTTATACTGTCCACAAAAATTATGCTTTGTTTTGCAGCAGATAACGATGTCACATCAGTGGGTGGAGGGAAATCTACCAGTCAGTGCTAAGTGCGTCGTCTGTGATAAAACCTGTGGCTCAGTATTACGGCTGCAGGATTGGCGCTGTCTCTGGTGCAAAGCCTTGGTAGGTCCACCGCAATGTTCATAAATCGCAAAACTATAACCCTGCATCGTCTATACGTGTAGATATAGTAAAGTCTACTCTTACGATAAAGTCCAAAGCACGCGTGGCTGTTTGTGAGCTCTAAAATAAATAGCTTATTATTACATGGCATAAAAATGTGCGAATGTAAATCATGCATTAATTGCACTGTACTAATATAATTATATCTACCTAATATAATTATAGCATGGTATAAGTAAATGCATAAATTTCAATTAGATTGCACCTAATTTATCGTAGATCCTTTCCGCGGCACTTTAAGACCGTACTCGCGCACCTATATCTCATTAATATTTGTTTCGTCTTCAGGTGCATACATCCTGCAGGTCAGCTATCCCAGTCGGCTGTCCGCTGGGACTCTGCAAGGTCTCTGTCATGCCGCCCACCTCACTCACTTCCATAGAGACAGATCTAGAGGATGAGGTCACGCCGCCTGTCGGCTGCAGTCCTTTGCTCGTGTTTGTCAACTCTAAGAGCGGTGACAACCAGGGCGTGAAGTTTCTTCATCGGTTCCGGCAGAATCTCAACCCAGCGCAAGTGTATGATCTCATGAATGGGGGACCTAGCTTTGGGTGAGTAAAATGGCCAAGTTGAAGCCATTAGGTGGTTTGTGTGTTGTATTAGGTGGTATATTGAGGCAGCAAAACAGCGTTACATTTTTGTGTGGTTGACAGAACGTTTTGGCTTCACGTCTCATTTGATCTCTTAATTGGCGTGTTTTGACCCACAAAACCGTGATTGCTTGCTACCTTCGTATTACCGGTGTTACTATATAATAAGTTTCCATGTCAATCAGTCTACGATGATATTCTGCCTACAGTCGATCAATCGATATCGCTGTTACATAAAAAGCTGCTTTCACTAGTGTATTCATACAGTCATAAACTACTGAAACTGTCAAATGTGTACGTTATTATATATATAGGCTGATTAAATAGCATCAGCAGTGCTTACTTGTTACATGCAGAGTTTCATGTTGTGGCATACAATTCATGCCTAAATTGCACACCACTTAATTATTCGGTAAGAAACACATGTTCCCCGTAATAAGTGGACAGTGTGACAGTGTATATGGTCTATGCGTGTGTTGCGTGCGAGCGTGCGTGCGTGCGTGTGCATGCCATTTAATTGTGGCTAAAGCCCGGCGCACACGTGAGTTATTTTACTCAAGTAAAATGACGCATGAGTCAAATTACTCAACGAAAATCCGCCGCACACGTGAGTAAAATGACGCATGAGTCAAATTACTCAACGAAAATCCGCCGCACACGTGAGTAAAATGACACATGCGTCATTTTACTTGAGTAAAATAACTCACGTGTGCGCCGGGCTTTAGTTTAAATGTACTCTTAATAGTTTGACATTTACTCTTGTGTCAATCGATATGTTTCAGGTTAAGGTTGTTTCGTCGTTTCCACTCGTTTCGTTTACTCGTCTGCGGCGGCGACGGCAGCATCGGATGGGTTTTTAACGAGATTGACAAACTAAGGCTCATCAATAAGGTAAAAGCTTCATGCCGGGATATGCTAGCCGCTACCTAATTAAAGAGAGCCGCTATCGATTGCACGCACACACACAGGCGTACAGTCAACCTGACACGCAGACCCAATTTGTACAGGCCTATTGACTTTATTGTCAAAACATATATACTATAGTCTAAGTCCATTTCTTTTACGTACAGCAGCGCCTATACGCGTATAATGCTAGATTTGCCGCATGTAAAGTTGCAGATGATAGAAAATGTTCTCAACATTTATAATAATACATGTGATGATGATGATGATGGTGGTGATGATGATGATGGTGATGATGATGATGATGGTGATGATGATGATGATAATAATAATGATAATAACAATAATAATGTGTGTGTGCCTGCATGTGCGTGTCCAATGTCCATGTGTGTACACATACATGGAGATTAAGACAGGAGATGGAGAGTGAGAGTGAGAGGGGGGAGGGAGGGAGGGACAAGCAGATGGGCAGGCAGGAGGGGGGTTGGTCAGGCGGGCAGACAGAGGGACATGCATGCACGCACGCACACAAGCACACATGCATGCACACAAGACTAGAGAGTGAGGGGGAGGAGAGAGGGAGGGTGAGTGAGAGAGAGCGAAAGCGAGCTAGATGGGGGGGGGGATAGACGAATAGATCGGCGATAAAAACAATTTACGTACATTTAAATAACCATTGTAAATACGGCAGAGCGCACAGCTGGACACCGCGCACCGCTAATTCACCGCTCATCGTCTGTTCCTTGTCCTTTCATCGTCGCAGTGCAGGAGAGCGGTTAATAGCCGGAAACCTAATTCACATCAAACTCTTGTGTCACTCGACGCTCGTCACCGTTTCATCGTAGCGCTAATTCACCGTTCGTCATTGCAGTGCAGGATATAGTAGTAAAGCGAGCGGTAAATAGCAGTAAACAGCTGGAAACCGTGCGTTAATTCACCGTTCGTCATTGCAGTGCAGGATATAGTAGTAAAGCGAGCGGTAAATAACGGTAAACAGCTGGAAACCGAGCGTTAATTCACCGTTCGTCATTGCAGTGCAGGATATAGTAGTAAAGCGAGCGGTAAATAGCGGTAAACAGCTGGAAACCGTGCGTTAATTCACAGTTTGTCGTCTGCTCGTCACCGTTTCATCATAGCGCTAATTTACCTCGTTGTCCGCTCATCGCTGCAGTGCAGGATAGCGGGTAATAGCGGTAACCGGCTAGAAACCGAATTCACCGCTTGTGTCACTCGCTCGTTACCATTTCATCGTAGCTCTAATTCACCGTTTGTCGTTGCAGTGCAGGATAGCGGTAATCAGCGTTAAATAGCGGTAAACAGCTGGAAAGCGAGCCTGGCTAACTCACTGTTCACTTGTCGTTGCAGTGCAGGATAGCGGTGCTGCCTCTGGGGACGGGTAACGACCTCGCGCGCGTGCTCGGCTGGGGCGGGCTCGTCGATGACGACACGCATCTCAGCCAGCTCATCGAGAGATACGAGATGGCCAGAACGAAGATGCTGGACAGGTGGACCCTTACGCTTGCTCACTCGCTCGCTACTTCGCTGCCTACACGCCCCTCCCTCGCTCGCTGCCTGCATGCCCCTCCCTCGCTCGCTACCTCGCTACCTGCATGCCCCTCCCTCGCTCGCTACCTCGCTGCCTGCACGCCTCGCTCGCTACCTCGCTGCCTGCACGCCTTTTCCTAGCTCGCTACCTGCACGCCTCGCTCGCTACCTCGCTGCCTGCACGCCTTGCTCGCTACCTACCTGCACGCCCCTCCCTCGCTCGCTACCTCGCTGCCTGCACGCCCCTCCCTCGCTCGCTGCCTGCATGCCCCTCCCTCGCTCGCTACCTCGCTGCCTGCATGCCCCTCCCTCGCTCGCTACCTTCGTTGCCTGCACGCCTTGCTCGCTACCTACCTACACGCCCCTCGCTCGCTCGCTGCTAATTAGCGCATTCTGGTGCTAATTAGTCGCGTGACGTGTCACTTGACACTGTATCACCGAACTTTTCCCCCCATACGGCAGCCCTAACGGTTTGGGATGGTCTAATTAGCGAGCAGTGTTGAATATTGTCTTCAGCAGGTTACCGCACTGAAGCGCACGTGTTTCGTCGTGCGACGCGGCATCATCGAACGTTTGCCCCCGTAATGTATCAATGGCCAACTTTTATATCATTATTGATTAATGTTTAATGATTAATGATTGATAATCTTAACCCTAACCCTAACCCTAACCCTAACCCTAACCCTAACCCTAACCCTAACCCTAACCCTAACCCTAACCCTAACCCTAACCCTAACCCTAACCCTAACTCTAACCTTCACACTAACCCTAACTCTAACCTTCACACTAACCCTAACTCTAACCTTAACTCTAACCTTAACCCTAACCCTAACCCTAACCCTGACCCTAACCTATAACATAACCCTAACCATTAATCCTAATCCTACTCCTAATGGAGTATCACCCTGTATCATGCGATATCGTGTGTTTTGTTGCTTGACTTGGTGTTTTATTGCTTTGCAGGTGGAGTCTGATGACATACGAAGGACCCCTAGTCGATCCAAAGGCTAACCTTGCTTTTCGAAACGAGGTGCGTGTATCGGCAATTTACGTTGCGTGTGATCGGTTTAATACTATATACAGTATGACGTGGTGAGTAACGACCCGCGATTAGAAACGAGCGGGGGTGCCATGGCGATTCGCTTTACTTCCGGTTACGTCAGGCACTAATGGTTTAATACTGCACGCGATGCAGTGAGTGATGGATATATGATTCATTGTGACGGTGTGGCGGCTGATGATTCAATGTGTTTCGTCGCAGCTGTGTGAGCCTATTGCAGCATACGAGGATTCTGTTGCCGCCCACCTATCAAAGATTTTGCATTCCGATCAACACTCTGTAGTCATATCGTCAGCCAAGTAAGTAATTGACTCATGTTTGGCACTACCGGAGATGTTGCATGGTGGTGAATCACTGTGTTGCAACAGAGGCTATTGATAGATACGTCTGTTATTGTGATCTGTTGATTATAATCTAAGGAGGTACACAAATTCGGTGCAAGGTTTGGGGGAAGTTTCAATTTATTTTTGCATAATTCTCTACGTTCGTTTGCAGATTAAATTAAAAATGAATTAGTAAGACATGTGTAACTTTGTAATATGTTAAGCAAGATTTTCGCAATTATATTCGTAGGATATTATGTGAGACTATTAAAGACTTCGTAGCGAAAGTCGATGCTTCTTGTGAGCATGAAGAACCAATAGACGACTGTAAAGATGAGAAAGATGATTCCATATCAAGAAAGGTATGATCATGTATAATAGAATTGTAGTAGCAAGGAAACACTTCTCAGCTTAATCACCCTGATTAATTTATTCATCACAATTTCCGCAAGTGCTGTGCACAAAGAATTTGACATTTCCGTAACTTCCGGCCACGCAACGTAAATGCTCCTGCTGCAGAGAGGTGCTAGAATACACGTGGTTGCTAATGAATGTATTAATGATGTATGTATGATGTAATGAATTGCATCCTGCAGTGCTCTGTTCTAAATGAGAAGCTGAACTCTCTACTGAATACTCTGAGTGAAGAATCTAAAGCGTCACAGGAAACGAGGTCTGCTAGTACGTCTGTCGCCGTGCAAGAAACCATGGCAACAAAACAGGACGCACCTACTAAACATGTATGTACTCATTGGTTTTTATAGTGGCTGCAATATTGTGATAGCTTCATTTATGTTATTTCTGTTTTGTCCATTGATTCTATACAGCCGAACTAACTTAGTTTCAGTCGTCAAGAGTAATTATACAGGCACATTTTAAGTTTTAATCAATTTTGTAAAAAAAACACGTTAAATTGTGTGTTGCTTTAGGACGTCAAAAATTTTGTCTTGTAGCAGGGAGCAGACTGTAAAATTTGGATATTATTAGTACTGATATATTAAGAATAAAACCATTCTGTATGCATAATTGTAGTACCATCCTCAAACTAGTGAGGGAAGTGTGCCTTTTTGGCATGATTGCCTTGTAATGATTCTATCAATTGCTATATTGAACTTGAACAGACTTTATATAACAGGATCACCATTTTGCTGACAATGTTACATAGTAAGGAAGAAGTACATAGGTAAACCGACGAAGGTCTATGCCTATTTAGATTAGGTCAGTCATCAGGGGCGTGTACAGGGGGGGGGGGGTTCCAGGGGGTCCGGACCCCCCCCCCTGCTCGCGCAGAAAACGCATCTAAGGGGGTCTAATTTCAAAATGTTGACCCCCCCTTCGCGTGCTCGCAAGTTTGGGTTACGGTTAGACCTCCCCTGGTACAAATTCTGTACACGCCCCTGGTCATATGCTCCAATTAATAATATATATTAATAATATTATGTAATAATAATAATATATATAAATATAAGGAATATAGATATTCGTCATTCTGTAGCACAGCTCACCAGCACAAATTGTTCTTACAGCACGTTTTCAAGCCAAGAGATGCCCTCATGTCTCGCGCGAACAGCCTGAAGAAGGCAGTACGGCAAATCATCGAACACACAGAGAGAGCAGTCGACGAACAGAACGAGCAAACTAGTAAGAACAGAGTGCTTTCCGCGCTATCGGAGGAGCACGCTACGACTTCCTATAGGGTTACCGCGGAGACGATACACGAATACGAGGAAACCGATAACAAGTACGCCGTATTCCATATGAAGTTTAGAAGTATTAAGTTAAGTTTTTATTATTTGTAAGAAATATGATAACGATAAGGAAATGAGATTCTTACATTTGAAAACAAATTCATTACAATTTATTACGTAAAGACGTAGGTTAGTAATAAAGTGCTGTAATGTCCATAACATAGCGTGTACGTATGAAAAACATGTAAGAACTATATGTAATAATGTCGAAACTTTTCCAGTTTATCTTACCTACTAGCGCTGAAGGGGTCGTTGTCGTATATGTAGTACCCGAGGTGTCGGCGAGTATGTCGCCTATGCCTACTCCCTAACCCTAACCCTAACCATAACCCTAACCCTAACACCCTAACCCTAACCCTAACCCTAACCGTATCAGATAGGTACCTCGGGTACATATTATACACCATTATACGACAACGACCCTTCGTGCCCTACTAGCAGTATCCTAGGTGGCGTCGTTATCTCACTCAGACAGATAGGTAGATTGTATTCAACGAATCTTTGGTCGTTATTCTCGTCTCATTCAGGCATTCTTCGACGAGTGCGGTTCCAAACATTGCCGTTCACGGACCGACCTACGCGGGCTACCATGCAGAATGTGTCTCAGATGAGGAGGAGGAGGAGGAGGACACGTTGCGTGGGCTGGAGCCACTGCGTACGTATTTGCACCTGCCTACAGCATGTGTTCATGCAGATGTAGGTAAACGCCTGCTGATTGATTTTGAATGTCATCGGGATCATATCGAGCTAATCCTAACCCTATCAATAACCTTAACGATAATCCTTTCCCTAACCCTAAGTATAATCCTTTCGCTAATGCCTTAATGCAGATCGACTGTGGTCTCAAGGTAAGCTTGGCCTGCATCCTTATATAACTGATTCTGTCAGATAATGCGGTTATAGTCAATTACTTCATTGCACGCTAGATACGGAGCAAGCATGCATCGCCAAGATAGCTCCTTAGCTTTTCAGTAAAAGTATCGCTTCAAATAATAGGATCAATTATCAATATTACGTGTCTAGTTATATCTTTACCATAAATAATACCTATCCTCTATTGTGCAGGGTTTCGTAATCTCACTGATGTCTTCACGTTAGGTTTCACGAGGCCGCCACCGCCGGTAGAAAAGAGTCCGAATGCATCGCGTCGCATCAGCAGCGGAAGCACGTTCAGCAAAGCCATGCGTTCGACCTCACCCAAAGACATACCTCCCGGTTCACTAGAAAACATTCCACTCTTCAACCCTACGTTCCCCGCAATGTCGCTGTTCCCAAAATTGCCCAGTAAGTATGATTTTCGCTCACGATTTTTTGGCGGTAGATTCATAATGCACAATACGATTATCATGAGTTGAACAGTTGTGATTATTTTGTTCTCCTAGAACTATAACAACTATGATTTTTAAGCGGAATGTGTATTCTCTGTAATAGAGAAAACACCTGAAAAATCCATTTGTTTCATGTCTTGGGAGTCAAATCATTGCCAGCACTATTTCATAAAGAAAATGGCTAGGAAATATTATAGAGACAGTTTTATGACATATTCTTGCTCTGGTATATATATAGCAATGCTAAGTGGCAACTATGTGGACTTATTTATTGGTCCATTTAATTTACTGTAAGCCATCAGTGTATATGATTTATGTAGAAGCAGTTTCCTTATCACTGTTATGATTAAATTTAATGTTATTAATGTAATTGAATGTTAAAATTTCATTTGTAAAAATACATTAAAACTTGAACCACGACTTGCCAATGACGACTGTTGACGGTGTTGGTGAATAATATTTCTAATGGTGGGTTATCTTCCTTCACACTAGGAGTTCATTCACCTGCCAGCAGTGTCGTCGGGGGCCTTGTAAGTAAGGTGCTATTGGCCAATGCGGATGCCTTATGTGCTGCTGCTGTACCAATGATGGACTCCACCGATGATGCACTGTAAGTTTTCCCTAGTTTGTGCGCAAAAATTTGTGAGAATTGTCCGTATTTATCCTCGATCCTACCAGTCACTCATCAGGTTAGATTTCACTTATGAGGTCGGATGTATCTGATCGTTATCGCGATGTTTATTTTTTAGTTGTTTTTGTTATTAGTGGCGACTATTCGGTGTTCTGGTATTTACCACGTTATGTCGTTATTACGTTTGACGTTATTCTGCTCGTTAGATTATAGTGGCAGTATTACTACTTACTTATTCCGCGTGCTTTTTTTACATTTTTTCTGCAGAGATGGTTACCAGGAGAAGTCTGTAATGAATAATTACTTTGGCATTGGTCTCGATGCTAAAATTACTCTTGACTTCCATAACCGACGGGAGGAGCACCCGGAGAAATGCAGGTAAATGACCCGACCTACCCAACAATCCGCATATTTGGCCAGAATTATGCGTGCTAAGGATGCTTGCTGTATACGTGTAGGTGCGTACGTGCTTGCTGTGTGTGTGTGTGTGTGTGTGTGTGTGTGATGGTTCAAATGATAATTCACTCAAATTCATATTTATATGCATATATATGTGTGCTTGCGTGTGTGCAGGGCCCACTGATGGCTCGAATGACACCACACTCAAATTCATATTTATCTTCATATATATGTGTGCTTGCGTGTGTGCAGGGCCCACTGATGGCTCGAATGACACCACACTCAAATTCGTATTTATCATCATATACGTGTGCTTGTATGTGTTTGTGTGTGTTTGCATACACGTGTGTTCGAGCATGCGTGCATGCACGCGTCTGTGCGGCATTATGTGCTTCACACAATGATGGTTCCAATGATATCTTAATCAAGTTCATATCCAGTGTGTCACACACTATTCAGTTGATTAATACACTTGATCTCTTTGTTTGTATTATTCTAGAAGCCGGACGAAGAATCTCATGTGGTACGGTATGCTGGGCACAAAGGAGCTACTGCAGAGGTCCTACAAGAATCTAGAGCAACGTGTGCATCTCGAGTGTGACGGTACAGCCATTCCATTGCCTAGTCTTCAGGGAATAGTGGTTCTAAACATTCCAAGGCAAGTATCTGATGGTAGTAGTAGTAGTAGTAGTAGTAGTAGAATGGACCAAACTATGGTTCTACACAGGATGAGTCTAACGTGATGATATTTCGTGTCCTATGATGTGCAGTGCTGTTTGGTTTTGATTCTAAAAAGATTGCTGACCCAGCTGTAAATATGTGAAACTGTTAAATAATAACATTTGCATTTATATTTCTATATATTTGCATCATATTTTTACAATTTAATTGCTTTAGTATGTGTTTTTTTTATTTGCATTTATTTTTATTTTATTAGACAATGACCTGAAAAAATACATTAGTAACAGTTACTGATAACACCTCAATTTACCTTTTAACCGATAATAAATAATCGTATAGACATCCAGTTTCAAAAACATCCTGGATATTTGCATCTTCAGATTGTGTTAGAAATATGAAAAAGACTTAATTGAAGCTAATTTAGTGCCACTCTTTCAGCTACATGGGAGGCATTCACTTTTGGGGAGGTGACAAGGAAGACGACAACTTCACCGCTCCAGCCTGCGATGATCGCATACTTGAAGTGATGGCTGTTTTCGGCAGTGCCCACATGGGTGCAGCACGTGTTATGGCGCTTCAACATCATAGGATAGCACAGGTATGCCACGTGTTTTTATTAAAGCTGTGCAGCTTCATAACGATGCTGAGGTCAAAGCAATGAATCCCAATCTCAGACGACCATGAATTGAGAAATCTATAAATGAATCAATATATA